GCCAAGAAGGTTTTAACACTCTTAAAACCTGAAGCGCCGCGTCTCATAAACATCACAACAAACAAGCGAGGAGCTCGCCAACACCCCTAAAGCCCAGACGTCGGCATAGGAGGGTCTGCTTGCAAAGTACTGTGTGGTGTGTGCGCTAGGGTGTAAAGATATTGTTCGAAGTGTCCGCGAAACAATGTCGTGATCATCCCCGAAAAAAACTGCCCCCAACCAATTCCGAGATTTCGCCGAAAGCTGTTCGAAATCCCAAGGCCGAGTTCGCAAAGTCCAGAAGTAGGTTTGGTGACTATATAAGTTATAAGAGGGTCCGACATTCACGAAAGTACTGTACATACCAAGTTAAACGGCTCTTCTGGAGCTATTGTTCAAGTGTCTGTGTAACCGTGTCGTCATCATCACCCCCATCTCCCCCAATCGGAGCCCGATTTTTCAAAATCCAGGAGTGCACCTTGAGGCATGAAGAAGTGGTATGACACGACAAACACACCGTAGATGCCGAGTAAAACGGATGTGCTCTTAAGAGGGCTTGGAGCAGAGGTAGTTGGAAAGGGGCGGGGGGGGTCTCCTACTACTACTACTACTACTACTACTGCTACTACTGCTACTACTGCTACTGCTGCTACTGCTACTACTACGACCGACGACTACTACGACTACTGCTACTATCACTTCCACCAACTCAGCTATTACCCGCTACTGCGTTTTTGGACTCGATCTAATATATGGTAAAATCCCAGAAGTTGGAACATGGCTTCAGGTTGGCCAGCGTGGGGATTCTCTACACCTGAGTGTACCGGACCGAGGACAGTGATTTTCAAATATCTGTCCTGTTTGTTTTGCACTAGAAATAATTATGGGTTGACAGCTTCGGAGATTGGGGATAGCCTTAGATTATCATGGAATCACTTGCCTTGCACAGAGGGCGCTCGCTGCGCTTCTGGATGGCCTGCGACTTGTTTATGACCCATGCCGCAGGTCCCAATGACGGCGACAACAGTCGGGAGAAGGAGCTCTGAACGCTGAACCTTAGACCCAGAGGAGGCTTTCGACAGTGAGATGTGTTCTGAGGCTTAAAGGCTTCATTGAGCCTGAGTAAATTTGGAGCTTGAGTACATTTCAAGCCTCAGTTTTGGATCTACGACGCGGGTATGCATCTCAATGCTTGATCCCGCAACCCAGAGCCACGAAAGCGCATGCGTGTTCGCTTTAATTGGGATCCGAGCAATAGGTGTCAACTCCGGCTGATTATTCCCCGCACCTTTGGCAAAAGTTGTTTGGGAGACCCAACCAAACCCAAAGAAGGGCTTTAGCATTTCCAGGAACCAACCCTAAACCACTCGCTCAGCCTGTAGGAAGATGTCTGCCAAATCCTCTGAGGCAGAGGCGGGGCAGATTTACGCTTTGGAGTGGCCCGGCTGTGGCGGCAAACAATCTGATAATCTCTAGATTATTGTGCAGCTTGAGTTTAGGTTGCTTTGTCCGCAACATCCTGCACACGCCTGCCTGCAACTTCCACACTTGCATTGGCTGCATTGAGCCTGGAACGCAGAACACAGTTCTCGAAGTCAAGACGAATTGAGCACTCTAGACTCTAGGCGGGAGGCGCCATGTGGCCCATAAGCTATAGGCTATAACTCCTCTGCAATCTCAATCTGGCGCTGGAAGTCGCCACTTGCAAACAGACCCTGAGACCCTGAATTTCAACAAATGTCACTAATGGGTTGTCGGGAGAGGGTCTGAAAGCCTCAGGGCTCCAGGACCAACGTGTGTCAGGCAAGGGGACACTGTCCATTACCCTGGCTCCTGCAAGAAGGAGTCCACGTAAACGCGGTCCAGTCCTAAGGCTAAGGCGGTCGGGACGGGCCTTACCTGTGTTCCGTGATGTTGAAGCCCGTTTCGTCTCAGGCTCTACTCCCTGTCACACTCTTTCTGCGCCTGAGCTCCATGACTGGCCAAAACATGCCCCTCTCCATGCTCGGACAGGGCTCGGCAAATCCATCGGTAGAAGTTCAGCACCTTCGAGCTGAGCTTCGCAGTTTGGGCGCTGGGCTTAGGGTGAAGGCAGCAAAGGCATGTTTTGGGGTTCAGCACGCCTCCAGGGCCAAGAGCAGCTCAGCCGTCCGAGCACAGCCGCCTTCCTGGATCCGACGGGAAGATTTACTCGGAGCAAGACATGCAGGGCTTGCATGGTCTGATTTTTAGGCTTTGGGGGTTGCAGGGTTTCGTGTGCCTCCTTGGGGTAACTCCTAAAGCCAGAGGTGCTCCTCCGTCAGCCAGAAGTCCAGATTGTCCGGATGAGTCGCCTGTGAGAGCCATGGGCTTCGGGTTTCGGGGGGGCCGGAGGGGTAGCGACCCCAACAAATTGAAACACACCCTGAAAAGCCAACACCTGCCCCGAAACTACTAACGAGAACAGTCACCCATGAAGCATAGCAACAGAACTCCTTGCTGCTACTACCTCTCCTGCTGCTGCTGCTGTTACTGCGCTGGCCCTACTTGAGTTTTTGACAGGTCAGTTCTGCTGCCATGAATCAGAACCGAAAAACAACACCTTACACTCTTTCCCTGTTTGTTCCAGCATGCAACCTCGAAGGGCTTCAGTTTCTGCCACACCCATCCTCTAGCCTACTTGCCTAGGTCCAGCATGTGGAGCGAATCAGGACAAACAAATGTTGTCAGCAGAGCTCCTGAAGTTATAGTCTGCGTGCCTTAGAATAATTTACGGGCTTTACCGGTGTAGGTTGAAGAGCGTTTGGACTCTTCCTTCAGCAACAAAACCCTGGACCTGAAACCCAAACCTCGAATCCAAAAACTTAGCCCTTAAACCTGAAACCCAGGTCACAAAACACTAGATCCCCACAGACACACACACACACAAAAATAAAGCCCCAAGCCCTGCTAAAGTCCATAATTCATTGCCTGGCCCCAGTTCTTGATGCCAGAACTGACGAAGAGCTGGAAGATCTTTTCCAGGGGTGTCCCCTTGAGCTTAAAAAATAGTTCTGAGTTCGCGGGTCTTGGGCTGGGGCTTAGAGCTGAGTGTAAGGATTGCAGGATTCCAGGGTCTAGGATGTTAGAGACTGCTGGTGCTTGGGGTTTCGGGTTCTCCATTGGGGCTCGGATTGGAGCATTGCCTCAACCTTCACAAGCTCACGGGACCACCAAGCATCTTGGTGGGGACCAATACGGATGGCCAAACGGTCCAACTCTCTATGAAGCATCCACAGACCCGAGAAGCTTTGCAATGAGCCGATGTTGATGTAAGACGGCAAGTAAGCCCTAGTTACAGTCCTCAGCCAGCATGACACTGTCGGACTCCTGCCCTTTAAAGTCCTGAGTTTGGAAGGACAAACCAGTATACTGACCCTGCACCTACTTGACTGCACAGCAAGTTCGCAAGAACGGATCACTCAGGCGCCCTCTATGTCCGGATCCTCCTCACGGCGAAAATACCTGCGAAAGCTCTCCGCTATGGGGAGATGCAAGCAGAGTCGGAGTTGCATAAATGGCCGTTTTGGCGGAAGGGGGCTGTTTCCTCTACTCAAGATCAAGGTCCAGAATCCATGCATCCCGCGAGAAACCCTGGTTTGCTCTAGACTCCAACACAGTCAACTTGATGGTTCAGGAGCTGAACGTGCTCTGTTGGGTTCGGACAATCCAAGGTCGCGGATTCCAGCTCCATTATTCAAGGGTTCAGGGCTTGAAAGCTCAAGTGCGATAGTGTGACGAAAAGTTTGCGTGCAATACACTGCATGTTGCCCTTAATCTGTGACGGTAAGTGTGTACACAGTGCATTTCATGCAATACACTTTTCCTCTAACCTGTGACGACAAGTCTGCGTACAAAGTGCGAATGCAATACACGTTCCTCAAAACTTGAGACGAAGGTCTGCGTACAGGATGCTACCCCAACGAGAGAAATGAACAACGTGCTGTCCAGTAGTGTCCAAGATCTAGCCCAGCACATGTTCCTCGTGCGAGAAAAGGATAGTGCACAGGCCAGGCTGTGGCGGTTTAAAACCCGACCTCGCAAACTAGAGCTTAGAAGATAAGCTGTGCGTACGGATTGTGCTGATCTACCATATCGCTATGATTATCACTATTAGTGTTATCATTACTATTTGTGTCTTTGTCCTTATTCTTATCGTAATTGAGCATTATGGTTAAAAGCGGCATTATTGTTTATGCTACTAGTGTCCCTAGTATTACTAGTCCTCCTCCTGCTGCGGCTACTTTTGCAAAGCGGGGCCGGCAAGGAGGTTTGGGGCCACTAGGCTCAGATGAACAGCTCCGTCCTGTAGATCCTGCAATCATGCAGGCCCCGAAACCTTCTCACCCGCGCAGGGCAAACCGCAGGCCCAGATCCGGAAAGCTAAAGCCAGAAATTACGACATCCCTGACAAATAAACCAAGATCCAAGATGCACTGCCGACCGGAAGTCGCAGTCGTAAAATGACTGGTCGAGGAGCTCTAGACGCTCCTCTCTCTGAAATGCCGTAAGGCTGGGCTGGCTTTTGGTGAGGTCTAGCATTTAAGATGTCTGTTTGGGGAAGGGAGGGTTTTGACTAGGGCTCGAGCCTCACTCCTCCAACATCACACCCACAGCCCAAAGTCGAGATCCTCAACCCCGAATAAACCTGTACACTGTACGGCTCGCAGGATTCCCCCCGACACCCTGGGGACCCTGAGCGATCAGAGTCCTTGATGTCCTCCTTCGTGGCCCTGTAACTCCAGCGCATGACCTCGAGAGAGTTCTTGTCCGGATTTCGGAGTGATGCTACAACATCGCACCTGCAGTCTCGTGTAGTAGCTTTTCAAGCTGTCCGACAAGGACACCCAACATCTCTTCGGAAATGCTCGATCAAGGGTTTTGGATGGTACGCGTAAACTCGAGCTCTAAGATCATGCGCACGCGTCGACTTGTCGTCCGAGAGCATCTCGGGCATACCTTTTGAATTTAAAAGTTACAAGTTGCAAGAGATGAATTTACGGGCTCTTGTCTGCAATCTCCGAGGCTCTTCGGCGACATGAAATGGAAGGCCTGACTTGGATTAAGGGTTGTTAAGGCATACTCTTTCGTTGCAAGACGCACCTCCAAAACCAAAATTGCGAACAGCCGACTGTCAACGGCAAGAGCCAACACCCCGAGCCCGTGCTTGCGCTATCCTAACACTGCAAAGTAGGTATGCAAAAATGTTGGAAAGGACAATGCGCATTCAAAGACAGACAGTTTTGCAGACCGCAGATTCCGATAGACAGAGACATCGACAGACAAATAGATAGGCAACCAGGCAGTGGCTTGCTATAGGCGCACTTTCACGCGTTACTCAGCTCAAACATAGACCCTGGGCAAGCAATACAAGCAGACCAAGCCTCGGCACGGGCACCGGGATTCTGTGGGTCGCCTCATTCAGGCTTAACGGATTCTGGTTGAGGGGCTTCGAAGGTTCCAGAACTCTGGACTTGTCTGTTCCGAGGACTGATAAGCGCTTCAGACTTCGGGCACCAAGGCTGGAGAGCTTTACCGTGTTGAGGTCTTTGGGCCTTCAGGCTGACGGCTTGAATCAAGGCTTGGCTTGGAACTTGGAACTTGGACGCCAATCCAAGGATCTAAGGGAAGACGAGGGGCTCAAGGGTTTGGGTTTGGGATCACTCAAGGCTTTAGTCTTTGTCATCCGGATGTCTTCGAGGGAACCGTTTGAGCTCTACTTGTAGGGCTTCAGTTGACTTTAGGTCAGTGGGCAGCTCGTTTCTCTTACTCGAAGCCTTAGAGCCCAAAAAGCTGCAACCCTAAACCAGCTCCGGGCCTCGAATCAGCGGCGAAGACGGCTTCGGAGGTGTCGCGTTCTGCCGGGGGAAATCAAGACCAGGACTTTGTGTGTAGGGACACGTCTCGGGTAAACAGATGGCCAACATAGTTCATGCTCCCTCGATGTAGCCATGGAAGATCGAGGAGGGTTCAGATCCCGTAGTTTTCCGGATGCTACTGCAGTTCACGGGTGCCGACATGGCATCACCCGGTGGGCCGTTTGGGGCTCCAGGTGTCTTGGACTCCAGTCTGACGGTTCCTCCACGCCTTTTTCCGGCAATCGATGTAAAGAGGCCGTGCTCCGGACCGACCTCTAACCCGGGCTGTCATGCGTGGCAGACAAACTGGCTAAACCGTAACGCCGCTACTTGTACGATCTGTCACGAATCAGTTCAGTCCCCGGCTCAGACATTGTGTGCATCTGCCCCTAGCCCGGCTGTCTCCAGTCCGTCTCGCCTGCACTCGCCTGTCTTTGCAAAACGCTTCCAGGGAGTTCTTCTCGAATCTAAAGACCCGTCTCACTTACACAGCCTTGACCACGCATCCCGGACTAGTGGGTGTATTTGAGCGGCTGGTCGTTGGCGGCGGAAGCTTCGCAAACAGCTTTGTACAGAATGGCCGGTGATCTCGGACGAAGGTCCTGATGTAGTTCCTACTAGCAGTAGTCAGCATGCTCATGTCAGTAGTAACTGCAGAGCGATCAACATTTTATACATAAAACAGCGTGAACATATAACTGCAAAGCTTAGGGGCTGAGTACCCGAGCCCAATCAGCGCCTAAGAAAGCTTGATAAATCCAAACCAGACCAGCTTTCGTAGTGACCAATAATAGCAACGCGCACGAGCAGGGAGTACACCGCTCGAAAGGGACTAAAGTTTTCGAGGGGCAGGAGCAAACCTCTCGAAATGGACTAGAACACTTGAGGAACAGGGTGCAAACCACTCGAAAAGGGACTAGAGTTTTCCGGAAACAGGGAGCAAACTGCTCGAAAGGGACTAGAGTTTTCGAAAAACAGGGAGCACACCGGTCGAAAGGGATTGAAGTCTTCGAGGAACAGCAACAAACCGTGCGAAAGGGAGAAACAGGGTGCAAACTGCTCGAAAGGGGACTCCAGTCTTTCAGACACAGGAGAAATTGCCCCACAGGGACTCGATTATTTCAGAAACGAGAGCAAACCGCTCGCAAGTGACTAGAGTATGTGAAAACGAAAGCAAACCCGCTCGAAAGGGACAAGAGCACCCGAGGAACAGGAGCGAACCACGTAAAAGGGACTAGTTTCTTTGAGAAACTTGAACAAGCCTCACAAAAGGGACTAGAGCACTCGAGAAAAAAGGTGCAACCCGCTCGAAAGGTAGTAGATAGAGTTTTTAGCAAACAAGAGCAAACTGCTCGAAAAGGACTGGAATATGTGAGATGCAGGACAGCAAACCGCTCGAAAGGGATTTGAGCATTCAAGAAAACAGGAGCAAACCGCTCGAAAGAAGCTAGAGTGCTTGAGAGACACAGGAGCGAACCGCTCAAAAAATGCTAACGTGACTAGCGTAGCTGAAAAGCTAGAGCAAATCGCCGAAAAGGAGTAGAGTTTTCGAGAAGCAGCAACCCGATCTCAAGGCACCGGAGTATTTGAGCAACACAGGAGCAACCCGCTCAAAAGGGATTTAAGTCCTTGAGAAACTGGGAGCACACCACCGGAGATGGACTGGAGCATTTGAGAAACAGAGCAAGCCCCCGCAAAAGAGACAGTAGTTCTGAAAAAACAGCAATCTGCTCGAAGTGGACCAGAATATTTCGAGAAAACAGAAACAGATCACTCGAAAAGGACTGTAACGTTTTTGAGAAACGAAAACAAGCCGCTCGAAACGGACTAGAGTGTTTGAGAAACAAGAGCAAACCGCTCGACAGAGACTAGAGTAGTTTAGAAGAAGGGAGCAAACCACCCGAAAGGGAGCACTCGGCTAGAGGGGTCTGGAGATTTTGAGAAACGAAAGCAAGTCCGTCCGAAAGGAACTAGAGTATCTGGGAGACAGGTGCAAACCGCACAAAGGGACTAGAGCACTCCAGAAAACGTCGCAGACTGATTGTTCAGGATTAGACTTTTTGCGAAACAAGGAGCAAAAACGTTCGAAAGGGAACTCTATTTCAGACACAGGAGCAAACCGTTCGAAAGGACTAGAGTTTTCTAGAAACAGGAGCAATCTGTTCGAAAGGGGCTAGGGTATATCAGACACGGAACTAGAGTTTATGAAACAAAAGCAAGCCCCTCGCAAGGGGCTGGAATGTTTGAGAAACAGCATCAAACCGCTCGAAAGAGAGACACAGGAGGGACCCGCTCGAAAGGGGCCAAAGTGTTTGCCCGAAAGGGACCGGAGTATGTGAGAAACAGGAGCAAACCGCTTGAAAGCGGCTCGAGTATCATTGCTCGAAAGAGACTCGACTGTTTATGAAAGAGGGAGCACACCTCTCGAAAAGGACTAGGGGCTCAGTGCTTTTGGGTCAAGTGTTTGGGTGTTAGGCTTTTGGGTTTGAGGGGGTTTAGGGAGGGGTGTGTGCAGTTTGTGTATTTTCGTTTTTTCGTCAACGGGCCGACAGCTGAAATGCATCTGCGGCCAGAAGAAAATCGGGAAGACCTTTGCCTAATCACGCGAACATGCCCACGGCGAGGTCAGGCGATGTTGATATCCACTTGCGCAGCCCTCGCCCTCTCCTAAGGCACGAGCGCGAGATCTGCTACCAACAAGTGATCTTCGAGATCTTCCACCGCGAGCCTGTGCCGCAATCCCAGATGTCGACCATATATTGATCCTGTGAGAGTCACATGGTACACAATATTGGCAACGTCTTGCGTCAACATCAGCACTTAATCTTCCCGAACCGCGCGGCCTTCGCTTGGGTTCATGTGGCCGAAGCTCTTTGGAAGGCATTGGCCAGCAAAGCTGGCTGATGGCAGCAGCGAAGCCAGCTCAAACGTCGCACGAATTTCGGGGCGCGCCGTCGTTTCAGCGGCTGAGAGGGGTTGAAAGAGGACTGGAGACGTGCGCAGGAAAGGCCTGAGTTTGGGTCTCATGAGGTCCTGGAATTAGCAGACTTCCGTGTAAGGGGAAAAGCTGCAGCAGCTCCATTTCGAAGTTAGAAGTGTTCGAGCTTAGAAGAAGGTGAAACATGCACGGTGCTGGCGCGTCATTGGTGCTTGCACTCGATACCATGAGGATGCCTCTAGTGACTGCTTCAGACAGGAATCTCCATTGAGCAGTCATCCTGAGGAATACCCGCACTGGGGCAAGCTTGGTTCAGCGCGCATCCTCGTCCTCGTCATACGCCTGTGGCAGCTGCTCTCCCAAGAGATTGCACTGAGCCTCCTATAAGCCCGACAATTACTGCGTATTACCCGCATGAGGATGCTAACAAATCTGGGTCATCTTAAGCCCACCTGAGTGGTGGCTTTCCGCGACTGCTTGGCCGATTCGATGGGGTCCAGGTCCTCCGCAACAGCCTCCTCAACATCTGCCTGGCACTGTCGTCGACAGCAAGCAGCAGCGAACCGGAGGCTGCAGGTTTCCGCTTAAAACTCAATACGGGCATGCCTCGGTGGGAGCCTATATAGCTCCCTGCAGTCACAGCCCTTTTTACATCTCTGAGCTCGCCACTGCAAGTAACATATACTGCGCTTACGATCGTTCAAGCCGGAGGCCTGCGCTACGTCTATAAGGTTGAGTGCGCCCAATCGCAACCTAGGTATTGGCATCCTTTCACAGCTCGGCCGACCTTGCAGCCGCACTACCAATGAATAAATCGAAGTCGGGGGGAACTGAGCCGAACTTACTTGCCAGTCTCCACAGCCATGTCGGCATATATCTGGCTGTGTGTCGCCTTGAAGGCAGCAGCGGCAGCAAGGCCAGCTGAGACCTCGAAAATACCAAGCCGAACAAAGT